CCCTTTGTACGAACAAAAGTAAGAGAAATTTAGGATAAGAATACGAACATGTTCTTGCATGAGGCCCATTGTTCCTTATTGTACAATTACAAGGACTTATTCAAAAGATTTGCAAATCATCATTTTCTGTTTTTATTTGTTTTACAGAACTTCATTGGAATCGGGGTTTTACCTTTTATAATTATAGAATCACATGCAGTCCTCACACAGAAAACTCAGTGACTGAACCTGAGACTGCAGCTAAAGGGCTTTTTTTTCAGCTGTGCAGTAATTCTAATGTATTCAGCTCTGATATTTGAAGCCATGGCTCTTTTATTTAATTGCTTGCTTTCCTTGTCAGAAAACTCAAAAGCAAAAGGGTGTACTGAAATAAATTTGTCTGCATGAAAGTAGCTAAAACGCTGTTTGACATTTGAAAACAGATTTTAGAAGCGAGTGTGTGATTATAAACGGCTCATTGAATCAGTCACAGTGTTTTTCTTAAAGGAATAAAACCGAACCTGGACAAATGCTGGTACAATTATCATACAATCACTCAGTGTTTCCTATTTTGTCCTTTAAAATAATACATTTACAATCTATTTTCTGAACGACCAACAACCTGACAGGCAGTAATATCTGCAAAAAGAAAACTCAGAGGTAGATAAAGGCAGCATGAGAGTATTTGTCAGAGAATAGTAAGAGTTTCTTCAGTTCCGGAGACAAATAAAACATCCATTTTACATAAGCTGGCATTTTATTCCACCACACAACCATAATCAAATACACAAGCCTCCAGTGAGTACCTTCACAATATATTCAAGGTGAAAACCACAAAGTTTGACAACAGCTACATGTAAACATTAATAAAGCTCTCCCTTTAGGAATCAGATCCAACCTTCAACATGAATATAAAATATAAAGTGATTCAGTTAAACTGCAGTGTCACAACTTTATTTCTACTTAATAAACCCAAAGTCTGCTGCACTTTACAGAGAAGTGATAACAGAATATAAAGCTTTAAAATGAAGAAAGTTTGAGTTTCAACACCCAGAACTGTAGAGCTCTGAGTTTATCCTGCATTTTCTAATTCTGTTAAACCTCCAATATGGGTTTTATTATTAGATTTGTTTTTCAATGGTTTAAGTGATTGTCAATCATTCAAGATATTGTCACATTGAGGCATTTTTTTTTTCATAAAAGATGATGTTTCCTCACTGGCCTTCCCGTTTTTAACAGTGTTGGACAGTTTTTAACCTGAGAAATCTCAGATATTTTCTCTGCTTGATGCCAATAATTATGGAAGCCCAATTCCGCCACTCAAAAGAAAAAAATTGTGTAATGGTATGTTATAATTATGAGATACAGTCATAATTATAAGATAAAAAAGTCATAATTTTGACTTTCAAAATCACGAATTTGAAAGTCGAAATTATGACTTTGTATCTCATAATTATGACTTTGAATCTCATAATTATGACTTTGCATCTCATAATTATGACTTTGCATCTCATAATTATGACTTTGAATCTCATAATTATGACTTTGAATCTCATAATTATGACTTTGAATCTCATACTTATAACTTTGAAAGTCAAAATTATGACTTTGTATCTCATAATTATGACATACCATTACACAATTTTTTTCTTTTGATTGGCGGAATTGTGCTTCCATAATAATCTGACCCTTCTGAAACAGAAAGTGTTTTCCTCTACCTCAGGGTGTCTTTAGATATGATTGTTTAACCAATGAGAAGCTGCTCTCTGCATCAGTTGGAGACAAATAACCTATTAGCTGAAATATAACCAGCCAGCAGTAATTAACCAATGACAGGCTTTAACCTGTTTGTTTGGTTAAATCCAGGTGTTGTAAGAGAGTAATATACGTATGCATCAATCAAGTGACAGGTGACACGCCCCCTTTTCGGGGGGGCGGGCGGGGGGAGGGGGGCATCCGTCATGTCCATATATGGTCAACTTCCGGTGACTTCCGTTCTCTTTTGATTGACCGTAAGTAACCCTANTATATATATATATATGTACGTATGTAGACAAGATATAACAAAAACGGTGTTAGCACAACACACCATCCAGTTCCCAGTTTCCACATATGAAAAAAACAAACAGTTAAACTGCACCATGAGAATCACACAATAACAACTGAAATATCAAGATATTACACTGCGAACATTGCAATTATTGCATATTGAATACTGAAGTATTTCATCTTGAACATTGCATATTGCGCACTGAATACTCAATATTGCACCATGAACACTGAATATTGCACATTGAATATTGAAATATTACAATGTGAACATGGGATATTGCACATTGAATGTTAAAATGTTGCACCTTAAACATTGCATATTACATAATGGATAATGGACGATTGTCTCATGTATCATGTTCTTGCTTTATTGCATGTCATCAAAACTGTAATTAAATAGAGGGAAAAATATAAAAATTAATAAAATTCATGTCACTCGTCTGTAAAAATATTGAAGCCAATCTTGAATGGAGCTAAGTCCAAAAGTTAAGTTTCATCAATTAACTCTCCTATCGTCTTTGGCGTCAATTTGACCCCATTCAATGTTTATCCCTCAAAAAATAGTAGTTAACTTTTTTATTTTGCCTCATATTTCATGACTTTTCCAAATTTGATGGGGACAACTGCTAAAACATAAAATTTTCATGATGATATTTTTTCAATGAGCTGAACACATACTGCATGTATTGGTCGTCCTCAGGGGTCAGTTTGACCACAAGCTGTTTTAGCTGTTAAAACGTGTGTCTCATTGTGTGTGACCTAACATAACCACACCTGCAGGTGCAGTTGATACATTTGAGTTGATATATTTTGTTTTATTTATAATTTATTTTGATACTTCCCACACCATGGGCATGAAAGTGTGTGAGTGTGACCTTGTGAACTCACACCTGTCAAAGTAGAACTGCTTTATCCCGCACTGTGGAGGGTGAGGTATTCCCACAAGGACATTTGTAGTTCATGCAAAATCAGGGAGGAACAAATATAAAAGCTTGCATCTGTCCTCTATCCAAATCATTCCTCATTGTGCTCTGAGTAAACTGCAATCTGCACGCTCTCTCTTTGAAAATGTCTTCTGGGAAAAGGTTTACTGTCACAGATGTTTTGGAACAGCTCTTGGTCAGTGAAAGTGACTTAGAGAAGATTGTCTCTGAGGCAGGACCCTCCTGTTGTCTCTCAACCACCTGCAGACATGATCTCTTCCAAAAATGGAAAGATACTATGGTGGCTTTCTCCACTGAAACTGCAGGGTAGACGTAGTGCTAGTAAGCAAAAAGAAAAAGAAAAAAATTGTATAGGTCCTCTGGACGGGTTCTTCTCTAATGAAACGTTTCGTCTCTTCTCCAAGAGACTTCTTCAGTCTGAGAGTTTCAGGCAAAATTCAGGCTTTTAAGCACTGCCTCCATGTGACTGATACTCACATCACATGGCTATCGTTGACACCTAATTAACACCTATTGTTAACAGGGGGTGGAGTGATACTGGCAATAGCAGCACTGTAGGAGGGGGACAACTCCTAGTGCTAGTAATATCATCAAAATGGTTCCAGGACCCACCAGATATGCAGTCAGCCATGTTGATGACATCAAGTCATCATTCAAGCTCTTCGTAACGCCATGTATAAAAAAAATATTGTGCTTGGGATGACAAATTTAGAGGGGAAGTGTGAAAATGGGGACAGTTGGAAAGCCTTGGATGTAGTCGACATGGTCATTCTGTGAGAGTTATGCTCTCAACTTGAAAGTTATTCTGATGGTGGCGCTACACAGTAAAGGTCCTATCTATCATCACCAAAATGAGACTTGTGATCATTAATGCTGAGAAGTAAATTTGAGATTTGTATGAAAAATGCAAGATAAATAAATTCTAATTTAAAGGTTTGGCCTGATGGTGGCGCTAGAGTACAGGACAACGCACTGATTCTCAAAGGGTTATTCATGAATTCAACAAATAAACAAAGTGCCTGTCACAAAAACGTGGTCAACAATAGTCTGTAAATCATTTTCATGAGGTAAATATCCAAGGACCAAATTTGTTATTATATTTTAGGACGATTAAAAAAACATTTCCAGGGTTTACCCACTAGATGGCGCCAGTCGCATGACTCAAATAAAAGGCTGAGCTTCAATGTTGTGTCCAGCTTTTCCTGTGTTTTCGTCATGTCTCAACATTAAACTGATTTAATTCTTTTAACATAACTTGAAATTACAAAATAAATGTATTTCGCTCGCAAAATTAGGTCCTGCAGCAACAAATGACACTTAATTAGGATATCAGCTGCCTGTCAGCCTTTGATTTGTAATATTTTTTATAACTTATTATCCATGTTTATCTGTTTTAAAATGACCTACATTTAGCTACGTGTCGTCGAACCGCCCTCATTCCTTGATGACCCACACCGTCTGCTCGTTTCCGAAAGCCGACGAAGATTCACGGAGCAGCGACCCAGCCAGCCCCTCCCGCTCCCACCCCCACCGCGTCGCCGCTCCGCCGACTCTCCCCTCGGCTCCACTCCGAGGAGGAACCCGGTGCCCCCGGCTGATCGGTTCCAATTACGCTACCCCAAGATGGAGGTCCGCAGATGGCGCGGCTAGCGCTCACCGAGTCACCGCAACAGTCCGAGTGGCTTTCATGACGCTTTTGTCAGGGCGACAGTGATTGTGTGGCATTTTTATTTTTCCATTTTGGAGGAGTTCTATTCGGGAGATACTAAGCTCCAGGTTCGGGTTGAGAGGCAGCCATGAGCTCCGGAGAAGAAGCGGAGGAGACGACGAAGGACGCCGGTGATATAGAGGCGTTCTGTAAGACCGGTAAGCCCCGAGAGAGTGAAAGACCGAGCTTCCTTCGGTCCGGCTACTTCAGGGACACTGTTCCCTCTTTTATGGAAGAGTGTTGCAGGCTCTAGCTTGTGTATTCTATTTTTTGTCTTAAGTGAAATGCACAATAATTGCAAAAAAGCGAGCAGCGTTCCCCAAATCTCTGAAATGTGTCTGAACATCGTCTGTACACAGTCAGGGCAGGGTTAGCTGGAATGCTAACTACTTTTTCCAGTTCCATTGTCGGACACTAACATGAATTATTATTTATTTGTTTGTTTTTGTGGCTCTTCTTGTCTAACCTACCCAGCGATTTCCCCCCAACACAGTTGTTATCAATAATTTTATTTTTACTGCTTACAGCTTCAATTATACCCAACTACACCGCGGCTGCTCGTAAATACAGACCCTGAATGCAGCTTAGAAACATTAAGCAGCAGAAACGCAGCTAAGTTGAACGTGTGTGTTCTCCATTCAGCTAGCTTAGCATAATAGAAGCTTAAATGTCATATGGCTAATTTATAGCTTCGGCTGCACAAAGGACATGAAAGAGACTGTTAAAATAAATGTCCGATAATGGACTCGTTAAATGCTTTGCACTTTTTTAACATGAGCTTTGGATGCTAGCCTATAAGCTAATGGATCCTGGATCAGATTTAGTGAATCCTTTCCGATTGCTAACGAATGCTAACTAGTGAAGCACCGCTAGCCTGACAGTGACTTGACTAATCTGGCTTATATTTGGACAGTTTATCTGCATATTAGGGAGCGTAGTGGACAATGTGGGTCTTGTTTTAAAGACGTATGCCCGGTGAATTGTTTGCGCTGTTTTCAAAGCTGCCGGGAACAACACAACCGTGCAAGCTATGTAAACAATACATGGCGTGGTACTAAAGCTTGGGTGTGCACTCAGCAGGCCACAGGGAACCTTTCCTCCCCATGTCACCTTCTGTCTCTCTGCAGTAAAACCTGGAATATTCTCATTTAGCAAGTACTAATACTAAATGTATTACAAGTACTTATTCCAACATTTTTTTCTTGCAGCTTAAATTAGGAACAACTTGCCAAATGGTTGCAAATTGCATGCCTCCTCTTAATGTACATTCAAATAATTAAATTAGATATAACTTTTTATCTAAATCAAAATAGTGTAGTAATTACAACTTCATTAGATATTGTGTACTTTTACCACTGGACATCATGGAGCATTTTTTTATGTCTACCCCCTGGCTGTAGGTATTTATGCTGTAGGCACTAAAGTTTCAGGAGTAATTTGTGCTAAACGGGTGGCAGAAAGCTCAAACAAAAGGTTTACAAGAGAGTAATGAGACCTGCTGTGTTGTATTGTTTGAGACAGAGAGACAAAAAAAAGACAGGAAACAAAACTGGAAGTGTCAGAGCTGGAGGTGTTGAGGTGCTTCTTGGGCGTGACAAGAAAGGATGAGATTAGGGATGAGATTATCGGAGGTACAATACAAGTTGAAGGACTGGGAGATCAAGTTAGAGAGACCAGACTGAGATGGTTTGGACATGTCCGAAGGAGGGACCGAGAGGGAGGTTAGACAAAGACAAAGAGGAGAAATATCTATGCAGTTAGAGGACGAGGAGGTAGCTGGAGTGAGAGTGGGATGGAGGAGGAGGACTCTCTGTGGAGACCCCTGAAGAGGGAACAGCCAAAAGAAGAAGAGGTACAAACTGTTGGGATAATGAGCAGAAGCAGATAGTCCTTTTATATACTCCACTCTATTTACAACACTTTATTTCCCTGTGCGGGACAATAAAGGCTGTTTCTATTAATATTCTGTAGATTGAAGGTAACTTCCTTATAGGAAGGTCAAAGTCTGTCTGCAGAACTTTGACTTAAAAAATGTTTCAACCCCTATAAATTTGCAGCTGTTTTTTTTTTACATGTATCAATATATTACATACAAAAGTGTGTGATCCATAAGTAAGCAGCTGTGACCTTTAGTAAAATGCAGCATAATGCATTCTAATACACTGTGTGTGTCTTGTTCATTAGCCAAATTACTGCCTGTACCATCACGTTGTTGAAGGCAGGTTTTGAAGAATAGTTAGGAGCAGTGTCAACAAGTAGGAGAGTACAAAGTATTGACTTGAACCCCCCGGCTCTTGTGGTTTTGTGTCTAGTGAGATAATAAGCCGCGGAGGGAAGTTTGGCATCCTTATTGAGCTGATTTGATGTCTTCCTCTGAAAGCGAGAGGCACAAAGCATCCTGAAACTTTCTTACCAGCACACTTTGTCTGCTGTATTGATGGTGCACAGCTGCCACCGTTCTGCTTCATTGTTGGTCAGATCTGTTGCAGGACTCTTACATTATTTCAGGCATGTGCGCCGCTTTTGGAGTTTAGTTTGTTATTCAGAGAAAGCTACATCTGTGTCAAAAAACCACATTTGAACCATCCTAACTTTTCCCAGTTGTATATGTGCATGCGATAATTACTTCCTGAAAGTTTGTTATAAATTGTCCACTGCTAATACGACACACACGTGAATTTACACACACAGGCAAAAACATCCTCACCCTGTCCTCTTTTCCTCATTGTGAGAATAGGCACACCTTTAAACAAAATAATCAATTATTGTTTGTTTTTATATTTAAGTGTTTTGCATTGTTTGCTATCCATCGTTAATATTTTATTTGTTTAAATGCTTCTAGGAGTGTCCTGATCCAATATTAATATCGCATATCGATCCAATATTAACCAAAAAATAAATATCGGATCATATCGGCCTGCATCTAAAATCTCTGATATAACTACTCCAGTGTGGTCCATCCAATAGTCTGCTCAGGATTTCTATCCAACAGCGCTTGGATCCAGCGTYAGTAACTTATGTGACCTTGAATAGTTATTTTACACTTCAAAAGCATAGTTTGTGTTTATTGGATTTATTGAGGTAATTTTACAGGGTCTTCTATTTTATTATTTATTTATTGTATTTAATTGTGCAATATTATTATGTTTAAGTTAAAACATTATGTAACCTATTGGTGAAGAATAAATGGGACCAGTCTTTCTTATCAAGACAGTTTAAGAAACCACACTAAAAAAGTAATAAAAGTGTGTAGGATTTGTTCTAATATCATATCGGGTCGATATCGGTATCGGCTACGTTGAAGGCGGTGATATTGGTATTGTATCGAAAGAGAAAAAGTTGTATCGGGACACCCCTGGCTTCTTTTTTGTTTAAATTGAGACATTAGGTCATTTGGAGGAAAAAGCAATATCAACTTCAAGAATCGGCCCCAAAAATCGACAACACACATCGGGGATCGTTAGACCGATGTCAAAATAATCATGATTGGCATTGGCCTTAAAAAACCTGTATCGATCTCTAATTTATAAAAACTAAACAGCCTACAGTATTTTTACAGTTTTGTTTTACAGTAAGTGTTTATCAAAAGTCTTATGTTCATTTTAAAGTTAATTTATACTTAAAGAATTGGGCAACAACTGAACTGAATTTCTTCAATGGGTGCCTCACTTAAAGCTCACCCTGACCCACTTCATACTTTTATGACTCGTGTCTTACTATTCTTATGAGCATCTGTTTCTGTTTTTTGCACATACAGTCCACATTGTTGAACACAGCTGTAAAGCTGGTCTGTCACTAATTCAGAGGTATGTGTGCCTGTGCTAACTACTCTGCAGTTATTAAAATCGCCACATCCTGAGTTTCACTGTAAACATTTTTTGACTAGATTGGAATAATCAGATTTTTGCTACAAACTCTACGTCAACTCCTGAGTGGTTGACAACTTGTCTTTGATAGGGCGACTGCAGTCTCGTTCCGTGTTTTTACAACCCTGACTGGTGTCAAATGAAGTGTGTGCTCACTGTTATAAAACGTTTTAAGTATAGTGGTTTTTTTTGAAGATCCACAAAGAAACTAAGCATAATTAGGCGTAATAATCTGCTAATATCTTTGCACCAGAGGGTATGTTGGAGGTTAGTGACAGGTGGTAGGGGTGGTGGGTTCTCTGTTTTGTTTTGCTCGTGAACTTCCTCTTCGTAAATTTAGCCGACCCGCTCAGGCTTGCACAGGTTTGAGTGTTTTGCCACAGGCTGCTTTTTCCACCCCACCATACCAAGCTCCCACATCTCTTTTTTTCCATTTTTTATTTTTTGTCAGTCTCTTTTCTTTCCTCGTCATGTCGTCTGTGTTTGCTTTCTTCCCTACTGTTCGCCTGCATGCTGTCTGAGCATTCATTTACCAATGTCTGTGTCGTGTTTTCCTCCGCCCTCCTTGTTTCAGTGTTTTGAGCTTCTTTGTCCTGATGCAGAATGTCTACTACTACTACAAAAAAAAAAAAAAAAAAAAACCTTCAGTCTCTCTCTTCCTTGTGTCTCCTAGACTAGAATTATTAGCGTTGCATCAGAGCTGTGTAAAAGGGGAGTTTCGTTGTGGTGCGTTGTCAGTCATTAAGTTTCGCTGCAAACATGTCTTTGGGTACACAGATAATAACTGGCCCACCTTTCCTCCTGGCCTGGCTGAATGACAGTCAGGAGGCTGCAACACACCATTCATATGACTGGTCTGTGTGTTTTCAATGAGCATCGTGTGTGTGTGTGTGTGTGTGTGTGTGTGTGTGTGTGTGTGTGTGTGTGTGTGTGTGT